CACTGTGGCTGGTGTACACTGTGGCTGGTGTACACTGTGGCTCGTGTACACTGTGGCTGGTACACAGTACCTGCTTCACTACACTTACCAGGTCAGGCGAGTCAAGCACAACACTTGCCAGGTCCCGTGAGTCAAGCACAACACTTGCCAGGTCCCGTGAGTCAAGCACAACACTTGCCAGGTCCCGTGAGTCAAGCACAACACTTGCCAGGTCCCGTGAGTCAAGCACAACACTTGCCAGGTCCCGTGAGTCAAGCACAACACTTGCCAGGTCAGGTGAGTCAAGCACAACACTTGCCAGATCCCGTGAGTCAAGCACAACACTTGCCAGGTCCCGTGAGTCGAGCACAACACTTGCCAGGTCCCGTGAGTCGAGCACAACACTTGCCAGGTCCCGTGAGTCGAGCACAACACTTGCCAGGTCCCGTGAGTCGAGCACAACACTTGCCAGGTCCCGTGAGTCGAGCACAACACTTGCCAGGTCCCGTGAGTCGAGCACAACACTTGCCAGGTCCCGTGAGTCGAGCACAACACTTGCCAGGTCCCGTGAGTCGAGCACAACACTTGCCAGGTCCCGTGAGTCGAGCACAACACCTACCAGGTCCCGTGAGTCGAGCACAACACTTACCAGGTCCCGTGAGTCGAGCACAACACTTGCCAGGTCCCGTGAGTCAAGCACAACACTTGCCAGGTCCCGTGAGTCAAGCACAACACTTGCCAGGTCCCGTGAGTCAAGCACAACACTTGCCCTGGCTACTAGTGTAGTCCCGCCACCTTTGATGGCTCGGGTACTGAAGCTGCCAAAGTTACATATTAATATACCGACCTCAAAGATTATCCGCGGATCAAACAGGTTGTGGTGGGTGCTCTCCGGTGGCTGCCAGGAAAGTCCCCAGAACTTCAGGGAAAAATCCCCAGATTTCCCCAGAATCTCCAAACAATAAAATCCCTAGAGCAAGCAAACAACAGCTTTTTAGCAACACAGTTAATCCCTATGACGTCGGGACCATTCCCCGGCCACACTCGGGGAGAGATCCCAGGCTACGAATTCGTGCATTTAAGCGACCAGTTCCGAAACCTTTATATCTTTCCTCAATCATAGCGACTTTGTTTACATATATGAATACGTTTATGAGCTTCGAAGCACTATGAGGTAGTTACAGGAATTTTAACCTTGGGTTGTGGTATACATGTATACCTGCCCCCCTGTATACATGTACACCTGCCCCCCCTGTATACAGGTACACCTGCCCCCTGTATACATGTACACCTGCCGCCTGTATACATGTACACCTGCCGCCTGTATACAGGTACACCTGCCCCCCTGTATACATGTACACCTGCCGCCTGTATGCATGTACACCTACCCCCCTGTATACAGGTACACCTACCCCCCTGTATACAGGTACACCTACCCCCCTGTATACAGGTACACCTGCCGCCTATATACAGGTACACCTGCCGCCTGTATACAGGTACACCTGCCGCCTGTATACAGGTACACCTGCCCCCTGTATACATGTAAACTTGCTCCCTGCATACATGTACACATGTACACCTGCCCCCTGTATACAGGTACACCTGCCCCCCTGTATACATGTACACCTGCCCCCTGTATACAGGTACACCTGCCCCCTGTATACATGTACACCTGCCGCCTGTATACATGTACACCTGCCGCCTGTATACAGGTACACCTGCCCCCCTGTATACATGTACACCTGCCGCCTGTATGCATGTACACCTACCCCCCTGTATACAGGTACACCTACCCCCCTGTATACAGGTACACCTACCCCCCTGTATACAGGTACACCTGCCGCCTGTATACAGGTACACCTGCCGCCTGTATACAGGTACACCTGCCCCCTGTATACATGTAAACTTGCTCCCTGCATACATGTACACATGTACACCTGCCCCCTGTATACAGGTACACCTGCCCCCCCTGTATACATGTACACCTGCCCCCTGTATACATGTACACCTGCCGCCTGTATGCATGTACACCTACCCCCCTGTATACAGGTACACCTACCCCCCTGTATACAGGTACACCTACCCCCCTGTATACAGGTACACCTACCCCCCTGTATACAGGTACACCTGCCGCCTGTATACAGGTACACCTGCCGCCTGTATACAGGTACACCTGCCCCCTGTATACAGGTACACCTGCCCCCTGTATACAGGTACACCTGCCCCCTGTATACAGGTACACCTGCCACCTGTATGCATGTACACCTGCCCCCTGTATACAGGTACACCTGCCCCCTGTATACAGGTACACCTGCCCCCTGTATACAGGTACACCTGCCGCCTGTATGCATGTACACCTGCCACCTGTATACAGGTACACCTGCCACCTGTATACAGGTACACCTGCCACCTGTATACAGGTACACCTGCCACCTGTATACAGGTACACCTGCCACCTGTATACAGGTACACCTGCCACCTGTATACAGGTACACCTGCCACCTGTATACAGGTACACCTGCCGCCTGTATACAGGTACACCTGCCGCCTGTATACAGGTACACCTGCCGCCTGTATACAGGTACACCTGCCGCCTGTATACAGGTACACCTGCCGCCTGTATACAGGTACACCTGCCGCCTGTATACAGGTACACCTGCCGCCTGTATACAGGTACACCTGCCGCCTGTATACAGGTACACCTGCCGCCTGTATACAGGTACACCTGCCACCTGTATACAGGTACACCTGCCCCCTGTATACAGGTACACCTGCCACCTGTATACAGGTACACCTGCCACCTGTATACAGGTACACTTACCCCCACGAAGGATGTAACCTTCAATCTAAGTACATAGGTATGACGTCGACCAAGCTGACGAGGCGTTTGACATGCCATCTTCAATCCGGTGCCGCCAGGACTCACATGAGACAAGCCCATGACATCACTCTAACAAGAGAAATGTTGAACAAGAATACCTGCATAATAGACACAACCCAAGATGTTAGAAGATTACAAATTCTTGAAGCAATTCACATAAGAATAGAACAACCTACCATGAATACCCAAATTAAGGAACTCTACCCACCTTGAGATTAAGAACAAGACGGGAACTTGAAGATGCTAACATGGAAGACACTGCTCAACATGCTTAGCCCACTACGCCTAATTTATCTTTATATGTGTTGCCTCCCCTCCCCCATTTTTTTTTTTTATTCGTCCCTATTAATGCCCTATTCTTCCTTTACGATGTACTCCTCACCTATTTTTATAATGTATCTGGCCTCTCTGATGGTTTAAATCTAATCGGCCCAGCACAGTCCCATCACTTGAGAATAAACCATGTAGGTTCGAAACGTTGTGTAAATTTATAATAAGTGTAATACATTCTACAGTTAATTATTTATCTTCACCTCGAACAAAGAAGACATTTGGAAAAATCCTGTTCCAATTAAACCAAGATTCTAGAGCACTAGTCAGAGGGATAGAAGCCCTAAAGAAATTATATATATATATATATATATATATATAATGTCGTACCTAGTAGCCAGAACGCACTTTTCAGCCTACTATGCAAGGCCCGATTTGCCTAATAAGCCAAGTTTTCCTGAATTAATATATTTTCTCAAATTTTTTTCTTATGAAATGATAAAGCTACCCATTTCATTATGCATGAGGTCAATTTATTTTATTGGAGTTAAAATTAATGTAGATATATGACCGAACCTAACCAACCCTACCTAACCTAACTTATCTTTATAGGTTAGGTTATGTTAGGTAGCCGAAAAAGTTAGGTTAGGTTGGGTTGGGTTAGGTAGGTTAGGTAATCGAAAAACAATTAATTCATGAAAACTTGGCTTATTGAGCAAATCGGGCCTTGCATAGTAGGCTGAGAAGTGAGTTCTGGCTACTAGGTACGACATATATATATATATATATATATATATATATATATATATATATATATATATATATATATATATATATATATATATATATATATAAAAGAAATAAATAAAATGTAAATGTTCGTTTGTTCAAAATCGCTAATCTCCACAAACGTTCCATTCGCCTCCGAGCGGGTTGTTATATACATAATATATAGATGTCCCTACGAGAGAAAACATGATTTTTTTGATAAACTCAGTTTTTCATGTCTTTTTCATGTGAGGGAAATCTTCGAAACCTCTTTACACATTGCATTGAAATTTTGACACAACATTGCGTTCGAATAGGCGCTTCTTTTTATATATCTACTATATACATGCCTCACCTGTGACAGGTAAACATGTTTTTTTTTTAAAACAGCGCCATCTGTTGGACGTAAGAGCAACACACGCTGTAATCTCGGAAAGTTCTTCACCGATTGCTTTGAAATTTTAACACAACGTTCCATTCGAATACGCGCGTGTTTTTATATATCTACTATATAGATGCCACTCCTGTGACAGGTAAACCTGTTTTTTTGAAAAACAGTGCCATCCGTTGCATGTAAGAGCAACACACGCTGTACTAAATATGTTATGACTACTTTTCATTGTTTCCGATTTCATTGATAAATTGAATTTTCATAAATTTCGATTTATTTTCATTTTGATTTAATTATTTTGTGTAAATCGCGTTGGAATTGAGCTGTGTTGTTTACCATACCGTTCATTTAGTGGGAATAGTTTTATTCTTATTTTTTCATTGGTTTTCATTTCGTTTTTTTAACCGTTTTACTTATATTTTAGTGATGAGAACATCAGATCATTTGATGTTCCCAATTTTCTGATGGGAACATCAGACCATTTTGGACTGCATCGGACGAGGGAGTGGAGAATGGTGGGGAAGACTGGAAGACAGGGAAAGGTTGCTGTGGCCGGATATATATATATATATATATATATATATATATATATATATATATATATATATATATATATATATATATATATATATATATATATATATATATATATATATCTCAGAACAATATATGGGGATTGTTATTATTATTAACAAGTTTTAACTGCCACAGAACAAGCTGAACATCGCCGTGGGGACCCGGATCCTGGAGATCGTGGGACTGAGTCTCTCACTAGCCTCACTCTGCGCCTCACTCGCCATCTTCTTCTACTTCCGGTAAGTGGGTGTTATCGCTCTATATCTCCCTCATCAACGCAGGAGTATGTAGCAATTATGGCTACCTTGCATTGCAACACCTTGCACATGCCGATGATGTTGGTGGGTTGGTGTTCGTGCTGAAGAAGGATGTTCGCCTTCTGCAAGACTGTGGTTGATGGGTTCCCCCTGCTCTGTCGGCGGCGGTCTGGCCACCTCTCAGGTCTCCGCCTTCGTCTTCGATGTCCTCCGGACGGGATATAGTGGTTCCGTAGTTCATAGTGCGTCCGCGGCGTCGTGTGGGACGTCCGCCCTACCGAGCGGGAGTTGTTAACTTGGGATGCGTTTGTTGTAACGTATCCGAGGGCGGATTACCCTGAGAAATATGGGGATTCTTATTATTATTGACTTTCTTCCTGTTGGACCCATTTCCTGTGTTACGGTGTTATGGTTGTGTGCGTGTGTGTGGTTGTGGGTTTGGTGGTTGTGTGTGTGTGTGTGTAGTTGTGGGGTTGGTGGTTGTGTGTGTGTGGGGTTGGTGGTTGTGTGTGTGTGTGTGTGTGTGTGTAGTTGTGGGGTTGTGGGGTTGGTGGTTGTGTGGGGTTGGTGGTTGTGTGTGTGTGTGTGTGTGGGGTTGTGGGGTTGGTGGTTGTGTGGGGTTGGTGGTTGTGTGTGTGTGTGTGTGGTTGTGTGGTTTGTTTATTTACTGTCATGCATTTTCTCATTGTATTTCTTGTGGTTCATTTTATGTATAATGTTCTGTTTTTTCCTCCTCCCGGTTCCTGTTTGTTCCGGTTCTGTGTTTGTGTGTTTGTGTGGCCCTTCTGGCTTGTTTTGTTTACTTGTTTACTTATTCATTGCTTTTTTGTACTTATTGTTTTATTCCTGTTTGTGTTTCTGTTCTGTGTACTGTACAAGGTTCTGTGTACTGTACAAGGTTCTGTGTACTGTACAAGGTTCTGTGTACTGTACAAGGTTCTGTGTACTGTACAAGGTTCTGTGTACTGTACAAGGTTCTGTGTACTGTACAAGGTTCTGTGTACTGTACAAGGTTCTGTGTACTGTACAAGGTTCTGTGTACTGTACAAGGTTCTGTGTACTGTACAAGGTTCTGTGTACTGTACAAGGTTCTGTGTACTGTACAAGGTTCTGTGTGCTGTACAAGGTTCTGTGTGCTGTACAAGGTTCTGTGTGCTGTACAAGGTTCTGTGTACTGTACAAGGTTCTGTGTACTGTACAAGGTTCTGTGTACTGTACAAGGTTCTGTGTGCTGTACAAGGTTCTGTGTGCTGTACAAGGTTCTGTGTACTGTACAAGGTTCTGTGTACTGTACAAGGTTCTGTGTACTGTACAAGGTTCTGTGTACTGTACAAGGTTCTGTGTACTGTACAAGGTTCTGTGTGCTGTACAAGGTTCTGTGTGCTGTACAAGGTTCTGTGTACTGTACAAGGTTCTGTGTACTGTACAAGGTTCTGTGTACTGTACAAGGTTCTGTGTGCTGTACAAGGTTCTGTGTGCTGTACAAGGTTCTGTGTACTGTACAAGGTTCTGTGTACTGTACAAGGTTCTGTGTACTGTACAAGGTTCTGTGTGCTGTACAAGGTTCTGTGTACTGTACAAGGTTCTGTGTACTGTACAAGGTTCTGTGTGCTGTACAAGGTTCTGTGTACTGTACAAGGTTCTGTGTGCTGTACAAGGTTCTGTGTACTGTACAAGGTTCTGTGTACTGTACAAGGTTCTGTGTACTGTACAAGGTTCTGTGTACTGTACAAGGTTCTGTGTACTGTACAAGGTTCTGTGTGCTGTACAAGGTTCTGTGTACTGTACAAGGTTCTGTGTACTGTACAAGGTTCTGTGTACTGTACAAGGTTCTGTGTACTGTACAAGGTTCTGTGTACTGTACAAGGTTCTGTGTGCTGTACAAGGTTCTGTGTACTGTACAAGGTTCTGTGTACTGTACAAGGTTCTGTGTACTGTACAAGGTTCTGTGTACTGTACAAGGTTCTGTGTACTGTACAAGGTTCTGTGTACTGTACAAGGTTCTGTGTACTGTACAAGGGTCTGTGTGTTGTGTGCTGTTCTACTTCTTGTCTGTTTCACTGTTCAAAGTTTGTATTTTGTTTTCCTGTTTTTTGTACTAATTGTGTTTATTTTATATATAAAAAACTAAAACAGAACTTAAGCCAACTGTGCCACTTGGCTCCCGTGAGCGGTGGCCCACTTACAACTGTTGTGTTTATATGTTTATAATGCTTGGTTGATTAGCCTCCTTCCGTCCATATCCCTCTGTCACCACTCCTCCCTGTCCCTTCCCTCTTCTGTCCTCTCCCTGTCACTCCCTGTCAATTCCTCACCCCTGTCCTCTCCCTCACCCAGCCCCCTCCCTCGATCTCTCCCCACCCCTCCGTCATCCCCTCACCCTTGCCCCTCCATCAAGGTCCCTCCCTCAACCAGTCCCCTTCCTTCCTCCCTTCCTCACCCAGCCCCCTGCCTTCCTCCCCCCCACCCCTCCCTGCCCCCCACCCCTCCCCTCCCCCCATCACTAACACCCTTCACGTGCCATCTAGGGGGCGCCATTTCCAGCACTTATTGAATCTGGTTCATCAGCGTCAAGCGTGAACTGCCTGTCAATAACAGATATCTTATTATCTCCCCCAGCGAGGGCTCTGCTGGGGAGAATAGGTAGGGGAGACTACTGGTTCTACCCTACCTGGACACGGTATTATCTCCCCCAGCGAGGGCTCTGCTGGGGAGAATAGGTAGGGGAGACTACTGGTCCTGCCCTACCTGGACACGGTATTATCTCCCCCAGCGAGGGCTCTGCTGGGGAGAATAGGTAGGGGAGACTACTGGTCCTGCCCTACCTGGACACGGTATTATCTCCCCCAGCGAGGGCTCTACTGGGGAGAATAGGTAGGGGAGACTACTGGTCCTGCCCTATCTGGACACGGTATTATCTCCCCCAGCGAGGGCTCTGCTGGAGAGAATAGGTAGGGGAGACTACTGGTCCTGCCCTACCTGGACATGGTATTATCTCCCCCAGCGAGGCTTCTCCTGGGGAAGGTTTCCTCCCAACACGGGCTCTGTGTCCTTCCTCCCAATACACTTTACTTCCAACATAGACAATAGATCTTACTACCAACATAGACAATAGATCTTACTACCAACACAGACAGACATGGGTACTTAGCCTGCACTTCACCCACTAAACGAGGCCACGAACGGACGCCGGGAAAAGAAACAAGAATCTTGGTTGTAGGCGATTCCCAGGTGAGATATTTAGACAGGACAGTTTGTGCCAGAGAGATGTGCAGCTGGCTAAAGGTTTGTTCAGCGGGGGGCGGGAGTACTGGACGTTGTTAACAATGTCAGTGACACTACGGATGGAAATGGGAACAAATTCGTTATTTGGATCAGTGTCGGAGGAAGTGAAGGTGGACGAGTCAGGCGCTAATGAAGAGGTATGAGACGGCCATCCAGTTAGGAGCAAGGGAGAGACTCAGGTTATACGTGCAGTCCTCCAAGAAGAGTAGTTTATATGTGCAGTCCTCCAAGGAGAGTAGTTTATACGTGCAGTCCTCCAAGGAGAGTAGTTTATATGTGCAGTCCTCCAAGAAGAGTAGTTTATATGTGCAGTCCTCCAAGGAGAGTAGTTTATACGTGCAGTCCTCCAAGAAGAGTAGTTTATACGTGCAGTCCTCCAAGAAGAGTAGTTTATATGTGCAGTCCTCCAAGAAGAGTAGTTTATACGTGCAGTCCTCCAAGAAATGTAGTTTATACGTGCAGTCCTCCAAGAAGAGTAGTTTATATGTGCAGTCCTCCAAGAAGAGTAGTTTATACGTGCAGTCCTCCAAGAAATGTAGTTTATACGTGCAGTCCTCCAAGAAGAGTAGTTTATACGTGCAGTCCTCCAAGAAGAGTAGTTTATATGTGCAGTCCTCCAAGAAGAGTAGTTTATACGTGCAGTCCTCCAAGAAGAGTAGTTTATATGTGCAGTCCTCCAAGAAGAGTAGTTTATACGTGCAGTCCTCCAAGAAATGTAGTTTATACGTGCAGTCCTCCAAGAAGAGTAGTTTATATGTGCAGTCCTCCAAGAAGAGTAGTTTATACGTGCAGTCCTCCAAGAAATGTAGTTTATACGTGCAGTCCTCCAAGAAGAGTAGTTTATACGTGCAGTCCTCCAAGAAGAGTAGTTTATACGTGCAGTCCTCCAAGAAGAGTAGTTTATATGTGCAGTCCTCCAAGAAGAGTAGTTTATACGTGCAGTCCTCCAAGAAGAGTAGTTTATATGTGCAGTCCTCCAAGAAGAGTAGGCTATATGTGCAGTCCTCCAAGAATGCAAGTTGGGAATAAATGGTTGTCTACGTCACTTAGTCAGTTGCCAACTTGACAAATATTGTAAATCAAATACAATATCATTAATCGAGATCTGGTAACACTTCTATGGAAGGCAAGGGAACTATCAGGAGAAGCACCAAGCCATCACGACTATATAACACTGGGAAGGGGTCAGGATAAGGCTTTAGGATGGGACGGGGGGAAAGGAAGGGCAAGAAAGTAGGGAAGGGGGCATATATATAATTCCTTCTACGGCAGGAGTTATATGTAAGCTCGGGATATTGGGTTCACTTATTGCTGTTGTCATTTCATTGGAATGTGAGGTTGGAGGAGGTTTGTTTGGTGTTAAACTGTTAGTAGACAGGGGCATGGGCATGGGCATGGGCATGGGCACAGTAGGAGCCCATACAAACATGTGTTGACCGGGACAATATCTGTATAACAGGAACAGGGATGGAGACGGGCCTGAACATAATAATTCCCTTACGGTGTATTAAACAAACTCTGAAACAAACTAAATGATTTAGCTACTCTTGTCATCACAGAAAAAAATATATTATTGCAGTAATTTACACGTGGATGAATGTAGAAACCGAGGAACTATTAGCTGAATATTAAATATGTGGGTTTATATGATTTCACATCGACATATTAGAGGAGGAGTTGGGGGGGGGGGGAGTGGC